TATGATTCCGATGCTGTATAGATGCATCCAGTGGAAGGAAGGCTATAGCAATTCTGTGAAAGGGATGATGCATCCTGCGATCGTGCGACTATGATGATGCATCAAATCTTCTCGCATGTGCAGTTCTACCGTGCGGTCAAGTCAACATGCTGGCAAGCAAGCTGATGTGTATTCTCGCGTGCTGTTCGGCAGTTGCTGCGCAGCAGTGTAAGGGCTGCAATACTGAGTTTACACAGCTTGCCAGTGAGCCTTTTTTCATGCTGAGTGCGAGTGGTTCTCGCAAGCCCTGACCTTTTTTCAATGCCAACATACTGCCTGTAGCCCACCTCAGCAATGATGTGGTGCTGAGTGAGTGCGGACAACTTAAACACAGCCTTGAAACCTTCAAGCGTTCATCAACCTCATCTATGTGGGCTGCACTGCACAGGAGAACAGTGGTAGATTGGTGTATCAAAGGTTATATCTGCTCGACTCCAGGGCTTTCTGATACGAGAGCTAAGTTCCTCACTGCCAAAGTACTTGTGCTTGATCCTGCAAATCTGCCTTCTCTACATCTGCTTCGAGCTCACATCGCCTATCGTGCCTTGGACTGCTTTTGGATAGCCTTTGATATGGCGCCCAGGCATAAACTACATTCTTATCTCCTGCCCAGGCTCACCCAGCCGCCTGGCAAGCGGACTATTGGCGATCACTTGCGGCGCACTCAGCCAACATGTCCCTGCGCAAACACAAGTCAGAAGACCCGGCTTCAGAGCTCCGCAATCCTGAGTCCCACGTGACGACATGCTGGACCATCATGCCTTTGTTTGGCTGGCTGGTCTGGGGCACTTTTGAATGCATGTAATCATTTTTGAGATTGCAGCAGCTTTCGCAAAAATGGCCTTTAGCATCTTGTTGCTTGGAAAGTCAAACGGCACAAGTCTGTCATCAACCCTGTATCGCCACAAAGACATCACAACTCAGGAAAGTTGTTTGCACGCCTTGCTCAGACTTTGTCTTGCGGATTTATGATTTCTGAAGAGCCGCCTGGCAAAGAAAGGGTTCCGAATTCCAGTCAGTAGGTGTCATGCAAAACGGGCTGCTTACACGAAACTGTTTTGTGTTAGGGTTCTGCAGGCCGATTTAAGGCCTAGATTGTCCATGTCCATGTGCAAATTCTCCTGGAACTGACTGAACCACTGAAGCTGAGGAATATTTTGCGCTGCTTGGCTCGATTTGGCCTGGACACGCCTTGTGTTGACGACTGAGTGACACGAGTGGAATGGTCAGGTATACAAGTCATGGTGGACATGCACTTAGAGAGCAACTTGCTGCATAAAGTCCTCCGGGATGGTGTTGGAACTGCATGTATATCTCCCATTGCTGACGAGATCCTCGAGATATGCGTGTGATGTATGCAGGCGAGAAAACCAAGAAGAAGGAAGTCACCCATAAGGATACTCAGACGGACGTGAGTCAGGTGGGGCTTTGGGGCTGAGGTCAGGGAGCTTGCGACAGCATCCGGTGGGTTCATACATGTTCAGACTGCAGTGTTGAATCTGTCCTCACTTACGCTGACTGGCTGGGGTTTCAAACCATGTCTGGGAGTGACTGCATCGCGTCATCCTGACAACCTGGGGGATGACATGTGCTGGCTGAGATGCGAGGCTCATACAGCGTTGATTTTGGATTCCTTGTGATCGCAACAAGGCAGACCTTGTAACCAAAGAAGCCTTGTTGCTTTGCATCGTTTTGCAGCTGGGCGTCGTTTGTAGCCTATAGAGTCTCCGGGAGCGGTGGTATCTTTGTTGAGTGAGCTGAAGCTAACTACACCCAGATGCATAATTCACGTGCTGACCATGGTGCTTTGCGTAAGGAGAGGCACCAGGAACGTTTTGCAAGCTTCGTGCTAACAACGGCACCCCACGACATTGACCTGCAATTAGAAAGGCTTGGAAGCATCATGCTATAGCTATGTTGCACTGACAGCACCTGCGATTGTACTACGATTTACTGCCTCAGCCTCAAGAACATTCTTTCTTATCAGCAGGCTGAGGTGCCAAGGGAGGTACATGATTGGTGTGCAGCACCTGACGGCACATCACCAAGTTGCCCCTCGAGGGGCCCTTCCCGCCGCATACGCGCCAGCGGAAGGAAATAATTTTGATATTCAGGTCACCACGGCTAAGCCGTGCGGACCTACAGCTGCTGACGGCTAATGTTGACTGCTGGCTTGCAAGCTAGCTGATTGCTCTTGCGGGCTGCGCAGTGCCACGTTACAGCTGGTGACTGCTGCAGTGTTCGGGTATCGAACAGCCCGCAGAGACTTTTTAGAGTGTCAGTCGAAGAGCAGGATCCCCCAGCTGCAAAAGTAACATGTGGCAAAGCTGATCAGAAAACACCATGTCACACTGCCTGAAGAGCTTGTTGTGGTCAGGCGCTCAATCTGTTTGGATCTGAGCATGCGCTTATTGCATTGTCTCAGCTGGCTCTTCAGAAGAGAGTCCATCAGCATCAAGTGAGCTGATGTCACGTTTGAGTGCTCTTGAGGCCTGACGGTGTCAAGAAGCTGCGGCTAGACCTTGCGCGATGCGTGCGAAGCCAAGCAAACAGAAACAGGAGAGGTCAATGACATTAGTTCAAGCTGGCAGCAATCAATGAAAGCATGTGAAGGGGTCTGCCTGTAAGCATGACCTTGCCATCTCTGTGCCTTTGCACAATCAGGAGTCTTAGAGGGTATTCGTCAGAGCGCAGACAGACCATCCGAGGAAGTGGGTGCTGAAGGTCTCAGATGCAACCTGGCCTGTTTCACGTAGAGCTGCTTTGCTGCTAACAGCAACCGTAGGTGATGTAGGTGATAACAGCATGCATGAGAGCCTTGCGTGACAGAGGCTTACGACTACCTCCGCGTCTGACAGCCCTCGCCCTGGCGCGGCTCCAGGTTGGAAAGTCCGTTTGAGGGCTTCGAAGCTGATCCTGCCCGAGGACTTGACCATGTCTTCGATTGGGCCAGAGCAACTAAAGGCAGCTGCAGATCAACTACGGAGTCTAGGATGTCTGACAGCTGCACAGATTCAACAGGCCTTCCTCCTGACTTTGCCAAAGACCTTGGAGGCAGGAAAGGGGCCGACTGGCACCTACCACGGTAGGCAGTTTGTGCAGCGGTTATGGATCAGCTGCGGTGCCTCTTGAGCAGGCCCTTGAGATGAACTTGACTGGCTGCAAGGCCTGTGCTGGCATAGGAGGACTGGTCATGCTTAAGAGGAGAGTAGGCTGCAGAGGCAAGCAGATAGGTTCCCAAATGTTGTTACTACAGAAGTGGGTAGCGAACACCTCATATTATATCCTTTCTCTCCCTTATGCCTTATACGCGCAAGGTGAAGGCTGCTGCACTGTCGGCCCTGCAGCAGGCCTTGCTTGTTGACACATCAGAGCGCTTCATATGCGGCTGCAGTGAAGTTCAGTGTTCAGGCGGCCAAACTTCGCCTGCCACTTGTACAAAGTGGCAACCTCGTGGTGTTCATGATGTAGGTTCTACTTCCAGCTCATGCCGCAGCTAGAGATATGTGTTTGCAAGATGGCTTGTGCGAATCAATGTAGAGTGCTGCCACGCATGCAGATGTACTTTCTTCGGTTGCTACTCAGCGTCTGAGCCTGTTGTGGCCGTCCAGCTTTTGTTTCGCTTACTGCGCTTCCGGGTGACAATTTTTCACGGCTTTGCTAAGCTTTAGGCCATGGGGGGGGTGCTTCTTTAAGTCCGATATCTGATGTTTGTGTGCGGGCATGCTACTTGAGGTCCAAGCTTTCTGGTGTGACCTGCTTGAGCTAGAAGTGAAGCTGAGCGCCGCAAGCTGTCACCGACCAAAAGACTCAGCGCGATATCACTCCGACACCGTGAGCAGCACAGAGACAGCAAGCACAAAGTTTTACCAGTCACTTGGAACAATTGACGTAGTGGCATCTACTTGCAGTTGGCGCAAGCTCATTGCAAACTGACGCTGTCAAGTCACATGTCAGTGCTTGTGGCAGCGCGATCTCCCCGCAGCAATTGACACCTCTGATGTTCGTGCAAGAATGGGGCGCTTCACGTGTGCCGCATGTCGAAAGCATGTCAGCAGTCTTGGACCGTGGGGGGGGACTAACTGGCAACGGCATAGTAGAGGTGCCAGTCTCAGACCGCTAACTTGCCCACTTGTGCAGCCGCTCTGGCAGGAATCAGCAGGAACTAACAAATTACGGAATCTAGCGCGCAAACACTCAGCAAAGGTAGAGGCAGCGCGCAGCAGCACCAAATTGCCAACATGTTGTAGATGCACAAGTCATGCGAAGAAGCAGACCACCAAGGCAAGATGTGTTTCTGATTGGGGGACAGCATGAAAGACCCGAAGTGAAGTACTGGTGCATCACCGCTGGCAGGGCAGCATGTGTCGGACGACGTGGCAGACGCGCATCTCGGTACTCATATGAGTCGTGTTATATTTGGGGATACTATAGTCCCCATTACAGAGTAAGATTAAATCTTCCTTGGGGGCATAGTAACTTATATACATATATAGAACATAATCTTACTTGGTTCAACCACCAAAAACGCTACCCAGATGCTGCCAGTGCGTATGCCCTATATGATATTCGCGAATTCCATAGCACGACAGTTGCTCGTCAAGAGCCCTTGCAATGCTTGAAGGCTCTTCCTGCCACCATGCGTGCTCAAGGCCTGGCCATGTTCACTGCTTTGACGCTCAAACTCGAGCCATCTTTTCTTGACCAAGTCTTCGAAAGTTGGCAAGCAACAATGAGTGGTCGGGTCCTGCCCAGCTACGCCAGGCCCGCAAGAAGCAGTCAAATCATTGGGCGCGCGCATCCCACGGCCTGAGCCTGGATGCAGAAGTTTGGGTGTTTTGCAAGACTTTTGATGTGTGGTCTGATGACTTCCTTGCTGTTTGGAAGTTTTGAGACCGACAGGCTCAAGCATTCTGTTTTGCACTGACAGACTCATCTTCACATGTAGCAAGGGTCCTCCGATGACACGATCGCGGCGTGCACCAACCTGGCTTTTGCTCTGCTGCGCTCCCTTACTTCTGCGTTGGCTGGGCAGATGTTGGCTTAGGTCATCTTTCGTGATTGGAGGTCCAAGATGCACAAGAGACTCGCCCACAAGACCAGCGGTCGCACGAGAAGCATCCAAAGAAGTCTGGGATACAGCCTGGGATTCACTTCTACCGGCTGGACCGGACGGGAGCCCCATCAGCAATCAAGAATTGCTCCGGCTTGTGAAGGACAAGGTGGATGAGACTTATTTCGACGAGGACGGACTGCGGGAACTTCCGAGAGTGGATGGCCTTCCACGCGGCAAGGGCTTCTTTGAGCAAATGAATGATACGTTCTGGCTCAAAGGCCCAGTGGTTGTGGCACCTCTTGGGCCCCTCAGAACCATAAGCGTCTCAGATCCTGGCATGATTAAGTGCTTTGACTGCACCACCTGACCAACGCTTTTTACCCAGGGTGCCATGGTCCCAACTGCGCAGACAGATCCCGACTCAGGCAAATTCTTTCCGAGCGAGAACTTTACGGCAAGGGATTTCTGGCAGCGGTTGGGCAAGACATCTTTGGCAAGGCTCTGATTACCGCGTCAGAAGCTTTGCTGCAGCGTGCTGCCGCAAGAGTTCGCAGCAAGGTTGGTTGGCCTTACGTGTCAGGGAGCATGCAGCTTGGCCCTGTTGGCAAGGACCGTGAACTATGGCAGTCTAGACGCTCCGCAACAAGCGCTGGAGTCTTGGCATGCACAGAACAATATCAAAGAAGCGACGTCTAGCGAATCACGGAACAGCTGCAAAGTAATTAAGGCTTCCACGCACAGTGGTTACGAAGCCTCACGGAGGATTTTGCTCTATGCACTGTGCGCATCTCAAACTTCTCTGGTTCATGTCTTGATTAGCCATTCTTTGTTGGGCTTCCTCCCAGGTTCAAGCCATGCGTGTCCTTGATGATCGCGTTAAGTACGGAGAGGCCAGGCTCAATTGCGCAAAATTTGTTTGCTTCGCAATCCCTGAGCCTCAAAGCATTGTGCAAACTGTTCAACATGCACAGTGACACTGTAGGTGGTGGACATGGAAAGCTTCTTTCTGAACTTGGCGCTTGACACTGTCGGGCGGACCATATTCGGATATGATTTTCGAGCCAGCGAACAGCCTCCTAACAGCCCCCAGTCGCCAATTGTACGGGCAGTCTACCGTGTCTTGAAGGAGAGGCTTGGCTGGCAAGTAGAGGCTTATAATGGCTTGCCACTTCACACGTCGCTTGTTGAGCAAACGCAGCCAAGGACAGAGTACAGACAGGCTAACCTTGCCAACCTGCTGTTGATGGGAGCTCCGGATGCTTTGGTGGACCTGGCAGCTCCAAGCGTTGCAGAGTACAGGCTCCTAAGAAATCGCGCAGACTGGGGGGATTCAAGGCCAGTCAGGTCATGACTGAGAGCATTTCAGGCAAAGCCTTCGCAGCATCGATGCTGTGCTCGACAAAGTCATCAACGCAGCATTGCAGGAGCAAAGGCTGACAGACGAAGCGGCCGCTAGGAGGCATGCTCTTCCCGGTGTTAGAGGTGTTAAGCCTCCGATAAGCCAGTGTGGCAGCCGCGATGTTCTGCATGCTTTCTGCACGCTGAGGAGCTTCGGCGGCGCTCTGGCGGTACACTCCTTCAGTTCATCATAGACCTCTCAGGAAAGCAGGCCAGCAGAGAGCAGCTCCAGGACACGATTCTTGCTTCACACGACAGAGCCTTGCAGAAGCGCCTTTTTGCCCTGCTTGCTTTCCAGGATGACCTACGAACGCTGCTCATTGCGGGCCATGCGTCCCGGCATGATGAGCTCTGCCACCTCACCTGTGTTGGCTGTGCGCATATCTGTGAAGGAAACCGTGGCCAGCACGCTGACGTGGGCCATATACGAACTGGCGAAGAGTCCCAAAGCAATGGCCAAGGCCAAGCAAGAGGCACGCCAAAGCAGATTGACCAGCCCAAAGAACTCCGATATTGAGACAACAACTTGTTAATGAGTAGCAACATACCCCCAACAAGAATCAACAAAGACGACATTGCGGAAGTCCTGGCAACGATAGCCGTCATTGCGTATCAAAAGGTGTGGATCAGGCCTAGCCAATTGGCCGCAGGTGCAGAAGGTAATGGGCAGCCGCGACTCTCCCACGTATCAGGACGAAGCTTGTCAGCAAAGGCCGATCACTCTGATTCAGCTAGGGGGTGACTGATAGGTCTTCATTGTGTTTGGTGATGTTGCCTTTGCTATCCAGGGCTTTCTATAGCTTCGCATGATGATTGAGCTTTCCAATCTTGCTTCTCCTGCCATGTTGCAGAGGATGACCATTCCAGCTGCAAGACTGCATGCAGCGAACATCACAGTGGCAGCAATGAACACGTTGCCATTCGAAACAGGAGAAGAAACTCAGCAACAGTTGCACTAGTGTACATCCTGAGCGATCGTTCTTATAGCCGTAGGCAGAACCAATAGTGTGTAGTAGTAGTAATAATAGTAGTA